CTCTTGACTCTGTGTTATGCATTCTATTTCTTTCCTATATTGCTCATGCAAATTTTCCTCATTTTTTTATTCTCTTTTTTAATCACTGTCTTCTTTAGAAACACTTAGTACTTTTATTATAGTTATCCTTTTTTTATCTGTGAGATTATTTGTGATCTTGTTTCCTCTGTATCCTTCTTGTTTCTTCACTTCAGTTGCTATTATTTCAGAGATTTCAGGTATGTGACTTCCAAATTCTTCTATGCTAGTGTCTCCTGGATTTGTTCTGGTGGCCTCGGAGCCTGAAAATTTGTTTTTCTCCTTCATTGTGTCATTCTGTATTTCAGAGAAAGAACTCTTTATTTTGATTTCTGTGCTTCTTTTTGTTAAGGTTTGATTGTAGGTAGTTGTATTCCTGGAATCAGAACCTCTCTGTAAAGATTCTGCTCTTTAGGAATCTCTTCTGTGTCAGATATTCTTGTTTTGTTGTGTCTCAAGATTTTGTCTTCTCTATTGAGAGTGTGGTATTGGTTTCCACTTGGCACTGTCCTCTGTCTTGAAGTTCTTTCAGGTAGACTAGTTCATCTAAGTTATCTCCTGCTTTTTTTTTTTTTTTGTTGTTGGTGAGAGTGTAGCCTGGTGTAATCATTGTGGAAATCAGTGTGAAGATTCCTGGAAAAAACTATGACTAGAGGTCTCATTTGACTTAGCTATTCCCTTTCTTAGTGTCTTCCTCAAAAAATTAAAAGCATCATAGTACAGTGATATATGCATACTTATGTTTATAGCAGTACACTCTGTAATAGCTAAATCTTGGAAATGCCTATCACCCTATGAATGGATAAAAAGATGTTTTTATGTACAATGGAGTGTTACTCTGTCATAAAGAAGGATAAACTTGAAACATTTATAGCTAAATGGATGGACCTTGAGACAATATTTGTAAGTGAAATAAATTAGACACATATATGTACATATTGCATTGTTTCTGTGTGAAACATTGAAAGTGTAAATAAGAACCAAAATGTATAATAGATATTGTGAAATAGGAAGAAATTGTTCAAAGGGAAAGAGAAAGTGAATTAGGGGGACTATGGAATGGAAAAGAAAAAAAATTGAGAAAAAAGGATAAAATGGATAAAATGAAAAAAAAACTTTGCAAAGAAGGGAAGAAGAGTTGAAGAGAGTGAAAGGGAATGAGAAAAAAGGGGGATTAAGGTATATAATGTACAGGTACAAATTCCCTATGATGAACAAGACCATTATACATATCTTAATTGTACCAATAAACTTTATTGTACCAATATAGAGATTATCATTACTTTTGATAAATTTCTTTTATGTATTAATTATTCAGTATACCAAAGAAGATTAATGCTAAGATCTGGGTCCAGTACTAGAAATTATTTCTAGATGCAATTCAGTCCCATGGGTGAAATCTGATATTGATCAGAACACCAAAATTGAATTTTGTAAAGATGTAAAGCAAAGCAAATTGATATTGCAGCTTATTTGTGATAGTATTTAAAAGTTTACTATTGCAAATGGTGTATCATTTAAATTTCTCATTATAATCTTTTTAATGTATTTAGTACATGGTCTACAGGGTCTCATTACCCAGATTGGACTCATAGTGATCCTCCTGTTTTCAGTCTCTTAAGCTCTAGGATTACAAGAATGAACTATGCATCAGATCATATTTCATTCTTACTGTATTTTTAAAATTGCTCAACATAAATCCTTATAATATGATCAC